TCCTTTTACCTCTACTCTCCCAAAGTCTGATCTCCATCTTCATTTCTCTCCATGCTCTTTCCTACCTTGATCCCTTTCTTCAACCACTTCTGCTATCAATTATATTTCCCCTTCTGAGTATGATTAAAGCACCCTCCTTTGGGTCTTCTTTGTTTTTATCTCCTTTAGGTCTGTGAATTTTGGTATGGCTTTCTTGTATTTATGGCTAATATCCACTTATTGTTAAGTACACACCACGAGTATCTATCTGCTTCTCAGTTACTTCACTCAGGAAGTAACTTTTCAAGTTTGACTTCAAATTTCACGATGTTTTCTTTTTTCTTTATTAATTACACTTTATTCACTTTGTATCCCCCTGTGGTTCTCTCCCTCCTCCTGTCCCAATCCCTCCCTTCCTCCACCCTCTGCATGTATGCCCCTCCCCAAGTGCACTGATAGGGGAGGACAACTTTTCCTTCCTTCTGACCCTAGTCAATTAGGTCTCATCAGGAGTGGATGCGTTGTCTTCTTCTGTGGCCTGGTAATGCTGCTTCCCCCTCAGGGGGAGGTAATTAAAGAGCAGGCCAATCACTTCATGTCAGAGACAGTCCCTGTTCTTATTATAATAGAACCCACTTGGATACTGAACTGCCATGGGCCACATCTGTGCAGGGCTCTTAGGTTATCTCCATGCATAGTCCTTGGTTGGATTATCAGTCTCAAGAAAGACCCCTGTGCTCAGACTTTTTGGTTCTGTTGCTCTCTTTGTGGAGTTCCTGTCTCTCCAGATTTTACTGTTTCCCACTTCTTTCCTAAGATTCCCTGCATTCTGACCAAAGGTTGTCCATAAGTCTCAACATCTACATTGATAGTCTGCAGGGCAGAGCTTTTCAGAGGTCCTCTGTGTCAGGCTCCTGATTTGTTCTCTCTTTTCTTATTCTTCTGACGTCGAGCCTCTTTGCCTTTCTGGATAGGAATTGAGCATTTTAGCAAGAGTCCTCCCTCTTGATTAGTTTCTTTAGGTGTACAGATTTTAGTAGGTTTATCCTATATTATATGTCTATATGAGTGAGTATATACTGCATGCATCTTTCTGCTTCTGGGATAGCTCACTCAGGATTATCTTTTATAGATCCAACCATTTACCTGCAAATTTCATGATTTCCTTGTTTTTTTATTGCTGAGTAATATTCCATTGTGTAGATATACCACAATTTGAGCATCCATTCCTCCACTGAGGGGCATCTGGGCTGTTTCCAGCTTCTGGCTATTACAAATAAAGCTGTTAAAATATGGTTGAGCAAATGTTCTTATTGTGTACTTGAGAATATTTTGGATATATGTCTAGGAGTGGTATAGCTGGATCTTGAGGAAGCACTATTCCTAGTTGTCTGAGAAAGCACCATATTGCTTTCCAGAGTGGTTGTACAAGTTTACATTCCCACCAGCAGTAGAGGAGGGTTCCCTTTTCTCCACAATCTCTCCAGCATGTGTTGTCTTTTGGGTTTTTGATCTTAGACATTCTGATGGGTGTAAGGTGAAATCTTAGGGTCATTTTGATTTGCATTTCCACGATGGCTAATGAGGTTAAGCATTTCTATAAGTGTTTCTCTGCCATTCAATATTCCTTTGCAGAGAATTCTCTGTTTAGCTCTGTAAACCATTTTTTAATTGGATTACTTGAATTTTTGCTGTGTAACTTCTTTAGTTCTTTATATATGCTGGATATTAGCTCTCTGTCAGATAAAGGGTTGGTGAAGATACTTTCCCAATCTGTACACTCTCATTTTGTTCTGAGGACAGTGTCCTTTGCTTTACAGAAGCTTTTCAGTTTCACAAGGTCGCATTTATTGGTTGTTGCTCTTAGAGCCTGTGCTGTTGGTGTTCTGTTCAGGAAGTTATCTCCTGTACCAATGAGTTCAAGGGTATTCCCTACTTTTTATTCTAAGCGGTTTAGTGTGTCTGGCACATATCTGAACATAGCAAAGGGGATATAAAGTAAGCCTATAGCCAACATCAAACTCAATGGAGAGAAACTTAAATCATTCCCACTGAAATCAGGGACAAGGCAAGGCTGACCACTCTCTCCATATCTCTTCAACATTGTTCTTGAAGTCCTAGCTAGAGCAATAAAACAATTGAAGGAGATCAAGGGGATACAAATTGGAAAGGAAGAAGTCAAATTATCACTGTTTGCAGATGACATAATAGTATACCTGAGTGACCCCAAAAATTCTACCAGGGAACTCATACAGCTGATTAACACCTTCAGCAAAGTGGCTGGATACAAAATTAACTCAAAAAAATCCTGTATACAAAAGACAAAAGGGCCAAGAAAGAAATTAGGGAAACAACACCCTTCACAATAGCCACAAAGGACATAAAGTACCTTGGTGAGAACCTAACTAAGCAAGTCAAAGACTTTTATGTAAAAAAATTTCCAGTCTCTGAAGAAAGAATTAGAAGACGATATCAGAAGATGGAAAGATCTCCCATGCTCATGGCTTGGCAGGATTAATATAGTAAAAATGGCCATCTTACCAAAAGCAATCTACAGATTCAATGCAATTCCCATCAAATTACCAACACAATTCTTTACAGACCTTGAAAGAAAAATTCTCACCTTCATATGGAACAACAAGAAACCCAGAATTGCTAAAACAATTCTCTACAGTAAAAGATCTTTAGGAGGTATCTCCATCCCTGATCTCAAGCTGTACTATAGAGCAACAATACTAAAAACTGCATGGTACTGGCATAGAAACAGACTGGTGGATCAATAGAATTGAATAGAAGACCCTAACATAAATCCACACACTTATGGACGTGTGATTTTTGAGAAAGATGCCAAATCCATTCAATCGAAAAAAGACAGCATCTTCAACAAATGGTGCTGGTCTAACTGGATGTCTACATGTAGAAAAATGCAAATAAATCTATACTTATCACCCTGCACAAAACTAAAGTCCAAGTGGATCAAAGACCTTAACATAAAACCAGACACACTAAACCGCCCTTGTTTTGAATAGCTGAGCAGTATCCCATCGTGTAAATATATAAAGTTTCTTCATCTATTCTTCAGTTGAGAGGTCTCTCGGTTGTTTCCAGATTCTGGCTATTATGAATAAAACTGCTATGAACATGGTTGAGCAAATGTCCTTGTGGTATACTTGAGCATCTTTTAGATATGTGCCCAGGAGTGGTGCAGCTAGGTCTTGAGGTAGAGCTATTCCTGATTTTTTTCAGAAGCCTACAGATTGCTTTCCAAATCTGTAGAAGTTTACATTTCCATCAGAAATGGAGAAGGGCTCTCCTTGTTCCACATTCTTTTTTTTTCACATAACATTTCTATATGTTTTTTTTAATTTTTTTAAATTTTTTATTAATTACACTTTATTCATTTTGTATCCCCCCATAAGCCCTTCCTTCCTCCCCTCCCAATCTCACCCTCCCTCCCCTTTCTGCATGCATGCCACTCCCCAAGTCCACTGATAGGGGAGGTTCTCCTCTCCTTTCTGATCTTAGTCTATCAGTCCTCTACTGTGGCCTGGTAAGGCTGCTCCCTCCTCAGGGGGAGGTGATCAACGAGCAGGCCAATCAGATTATGTCAGAGGCAGTCCCTCTTCCCATTACCATGTAACCCACTTGGACACTGAGCTGCCATGGGCTACATCTGTGCAGGGGTTCTAGGTTATCTCCACGAATAGTCCTTGGTTGGAGTATGAGTCTCTAGGAAGTTCCCTGTGTTCAAATTATCTTGTTCTGTTGCTCTCCTTGTGGAGTTTCTGTCCCCTCCAGCTCTTACTATTTCCCACTTCTTACATAAAATATATGTTTTTTGTTTTTAAAAACCAACATACTTACTAAGGCTCTTCAATTAGACATCACTTTCAAACATAACTGCTTTCTTCTATAAATGAGCTATGCTTTCATTGTTTAGGAATAATGGTGTGACTATATTCCAGCCATAATGTATTGTAATCCAGAGTGTGTCTCTATTCCATTGGGTCACAAGGACCTAGAGGGTCTTTGGATGTGATCCCTTGTCAAAGCAGCCATGTTCCTGGTTGAAAAATTGTATACATTTTCTCCATATACATTTAAGCTAAAAAATACACACAGTTTAATAATTACAGCAGAAACAATTATCAAGCTCATAAATTTAACTGTCCATATGACAAACTTTTGCTGCAATGAGCCCTCATAATTGCAGTCCTCATCATCTGTCCTTCAGAAAATGTCCATTTAAGCATCAAGGTGTTCCAGTCTACCAGTCTGCTGAATAATATGTCTTTTTTTCCCCATTGGCCAGTTTGTTGACCTGTCCCCATGCAGCGGGTTCAGTTTCCTGTGTTTTCAGCATTGATGTCTCTCTGCATCTCTTCCTATTTTGTGTTGTGTCTTTCATGTGCAAGCTTCTCTTATTCAATTTGTAACTTTGTAAATTTTGATTGAACCCACAGTCTTTCATCACCTGTGGAAATAAAAGAAAAACCTCTTCTCCAACATCACTCATTACCTGACTGCCTTTCTAATGCTAAAACATCTTTAAAGTGTACAAGTTGATCTAATTCAGTAGTTTTTTTCTATTATTACTAATATTGTTGTTGTTGTTATTTATTCACACTGTATCTCTGTTGTACCACCCTCCCCTCTCCTAACAGCCCCACTCTCCCTTCCTTTCCATCCCCTGTTCCTCTTCCCTAGTCCAAAAATAGCAGAAATTTTCCTTTCCTACTGCTTGACCCTAGCCTAACAGTTAACATCAGGACTGCCTGAATCCTCTTCTTCTGTGGGCTGGCTAGTTGTCCACTGCCTAAAACTAAAGTTCAAGTGGATCAAAGATCTCAACATAAAAGCAGATACAGTAAATATGTTAAAAGAAAAAGTGGGGAAGAGCTTTGAACTCCTGTGACAGTTGTATGATCAGAGTGAGGGTCATGCTACATTAGAATCAAAGTCTGAGTGTGGCTCTCACTTTAGAGCCTGGCTTGGAATAATCAGCTGTTTTCCTCACACAGGTTGTTTGATGGTCAAATCCCTACATTTGTCATCACAGACACAGAGATGATCCGAAATATACTAGTGAAAGAATTCTATTCTACCTTCAAAAACCGGCGGGTAGGTAACTTTTTTTTAATTAAAAAAATTAAATTTTCATTTTTGTTATTTTATTTAGGAGTATACGTTAATGTTATTTTTATAAAACTGTGTTTGTTTCTCTTAGTTTCTCCCTTAATATAGATTTCCCACAAATAATTGCGACTTTTAAATTTGTTTAATAATAGGCTTCATGACACAATAGCTGAGCAGTTATTAATCTATTCCTAACCCTCTACGCTAATTTGGCTTTCTCCCAGCATACATCCCAGAGGTACTTGCACTTTGTTGTTTTCCTGTTCCAGCCCCTTCACCTCATGTCTCTTCAACCTTTCCTGTGGCTTCATCCCCTAATTCCTTCTCTAACTCCTCCTCCCCCGTCTGGTAGGATTCCCACCCTATTCTCTCTCATGCTCAGCTATTGGTTGTAAGCTGTTTTCTTGACATATCAGGGTAAATTGGGGCACAGTGTTTACACAACATTGAGACAGAAGATTCTCAAAACAAGGATGGCAACAGGGTGTGGGGGCACAGAAATCAGCATTTCATTTACACAATAACATTATGCTTACACTTATATATGTGTGTGCAAGTGAGTGACTGCCATGTGTGAAGGTTCCTGTGGAGGCCAGCAGAAGGTATGACATCCCCTGAAGCTGACCTTGCAGACAGTTGTGAGTTGCCTGACAGGGGTGCTTGGTATCGAATCAGTGTCCTCCAAAAGACAAGCAAGCACTCTTAACTGTTGAGTCATCTCTCCAGCCTCCCCTTTTAATAATGTAAACCTTTGTACTTTACTTACTCAATTAAAAATGAAATAAATATAGAATCACAGTGACTTCTATAATAACGTACAAGCAGAGTGTAAGTATTAATTTTGCTAATAGGAATGGCTTGAGCAAGTCTAAATATACTATAGAATTGTAATCTAGATGTCGATGGATGCTTGCCACCTAGAGTAATTCACATTTCCCATTTCACAAGTCCATCTTTATGACTGTGTAGTGTTGATTTGTGGGGGGTCAAATACTCAGAATACAGAGTAGCTCCTTGACTGGTCAGTTCCCTCTTCCTAGCCCATTAGCTACCATGTACAGCCTGTCTTCCCTTCACATTTGTATCCATTTTCATTCTCATGGATTGTGCTCTCAGGTATCAAGTATCACAACTGTTTTACCTATCACATCTATATGGATTTACTCTTGAAATGTGATCTCAAATCTATGGCTTTATTTATGTCAATTTTTCCATGCAGGATACTACTTTAATGTCTCCAACTCTGTCTTTTTTAAATTTAATTTTATTTATATATTTATTTACTATGTATCCCTGCTGCAACCCCCTCCCTGTCTCCTCCCAGTCCCACCTTTCCTCCCTCTTCTCCATCGGTGCTCTTTCCCCTAGTTCCCTGAAAGGGGAAGACCTCCAGCCCTTACCTCTGACCTTAGCCTATCAGTTCTCATAAGGACTGGCTGCATCATTTTTCTCTGTGGCCTGGCAAGGCTGCAGCCCCTAGGTGGAGGAGAGAGCCAGCTACTGAGTTCATGTCAGAGACAGCCCCTGTTCCCATTACTAGGAAACCCACTTAGAAACTGAGCAACCAATGGGCTTCCTTTGAACAGGAGGTCCAGGTACTTTCACGCATGGCCTCTCTCTTAAACCATGGCTATCTAACTGTTCTATGTAAAGAAGCCTGTTTGCTCTCTCCTTACACCCTGTGGGTCCTGGGTTTCAAACTCAGGTTGTTGGGCTTGGCAGCAATCATCTTTACCTACTGAGGCCTCTCACTAGTCTTCATTTAGCCATTGGTCATTTGGTGAAGTTCACTGAAGGCCTTGTTTGCAGATGCCCTTCATCAAATCATCCTGTTTACCTTTTTTTTGTTGCGCTGAGTTCTGTAATAAAAGGGTGTGTTGGATGACTCCACATTAATATAAAATATAATTGTGGAAGATAGAAGAAAGGTCCTATTAAGTAAAAAGGATTCTTTTCCTTTCTTTATCACTGTATAAATAATTAAGTTAGATCCAAGATGCAGGGCCGGGAGGACACTCTTTCTGACCAGCAGCACAGCATAGTATGCACAGTGACTAGCAGATGGAACTTTGGACCCTAAAACACCAGCGATTTTGTTTCCCAGGTGAAAGGATACCCCATTGAATGGGAATCAATTGGCTTCAGGTCACCCATCTAAACCATGGAAAAGTTCTCATGTCCTACCAGGTGATCAGTCACCAGCCCAGAGCCACATACCTGTGTGCTCTGATCACTGTCCCAGAATGAACTCTGAGACCCACAACACCAAAGACTGAGATTTCCAGTTGAGAGAAAACCCCACAGTGCAGTAAACGATCAGGACTGACCTTAGGTCACCTAGACAATCCCTGGAAATCCCAGGGGTCCAGCAGGTGCAGAGCTGTCAGCCCAGAATGGGGTGCACAGCTGCCAGCATAGAGTCTAGCCTGCATTCCCAACTCAACATCCCAGACAGAACTGAGAGCCCCAAGACACCAGAGACGGAGTTTCTCTGTCGAATGGAAAACCCCACAGTAAGGGGAAGAATAGGTCTGACATCAGAGCAGTCAGCTGACAACCCATCCCCCAAAAAAGTTCCTGGGTTCCTGCAGGCACCAAAGCACCCAGTAGTTAGCAAGGTGGAGCCACATGCCTGCTCCTGTGTGTTCTACTTGCCATATCAGAGAGGACTTCAGAACTCAAAACACCACAGACTAGGTGTCCCTATAGGGAGAAAACCCCACAGAGCGGGGAACATCAGGTCCAACTTCAGGACACCTAGCTCCAGAAAAGTTTCTGGGTTCCCGCAGGGTATAATCTCTGGCCTCCTACTGTACACATGTGTGCTGTGCCCACCTGCCATTGATTACAGCTTGGGTACCGGCGTACACAGCTCCAACCTCAGACCTACAGAAGCCTGAGAGCAACTGGAGCAGCCCTAAGATACTGCTCAAAGGTGCAATGTCTCACCTTTAGCTAGCAGTATCCTTAGCTAAACTGATGAAACCATAGGGCTCCCTAGTTCTTCAAGAAGGCTGTGCCCAGCAAACATAGGGTAAGAGCAGCAGCAGCTCACTAAACTCAGAGCAACAAACCCAGCAGCAGGGCAGTCATCTTCAGGCCTTCTCCTGATGAGAAGAGAATCTTCCTGAACCTCATAGATACCGCATAGGTACATATTCCTGAAGTGAATTGTTACAGTTCCTGAGAAGCACAGCCATTCAGTTGACCATACCCAAAAAGCTGAAGAGGCCTCCTTTAGAAAACTGCCAAGGGAATTCTCCCCACTCCAGGATTCCAGCAGGCACCAGAAATTAACAACCAACACCTGAGACACCAAAAGGATAGAGGCCAGTGTAAAAGCAAAACCAACAAAAGGCAAAGCAATATGGCATCTCCAGAAGCCAGTTATCCTGGCAACTAGCCCTAGACACCCTAACATAAGTGAAAATCAAGAAGATGACCTTACATGCTTATGAAGAGGATAATGGAAGAAACAAAATGCAAAAAGGATTAGATGAAAAACAAGTCAAACAGATTATAGCCATCTGTAAAGAAATACAGGAAGATGCAGCCAGTTTGTGGCCTTCAGAGAGGAAATAATTAAGTCACTGAAAGAAATAAAAGAAACAGAAGAATGTTCAAACAAACATGTGAAGGTAAAACAGGAAAATTAAGTCAAACAGATGAAGGAAATCAACAAAACAGTGCAAGATCTGAAGATAGAATTGGAAAAATTAAAGAAAACACAAACAAAGGAAATCACAGACAAGAAGAATTTAGGAAAGAAAACATGACCTACAGAGGTAAGAATAACGAACAGACTACCAGAGATGGAAGAAAGAATCTCAGGTGTGGAAGATACAATGGAAGAAATCGATGTAACTGTTAAAGGAAATAATATATCTAAAAAATTCCTGACACTATTCACCCAAGAAACAATCCAAGATAACATGAAAAGACAAAACCTAAGAATAATAGGAATAGAGGAAAAAGAAGATTCCCATTCCCAAGGCCCAAAAAATATTTTCAACAAAATCATAGAAGAAAATTTTCCCAATTTAAAGGAGAGGCCTATAAGAATACAAGAGGACTACAGAATACCTAATAAATTAGGCGAGAAAAAAAATAGGCTTCATCCCAGGTATAAAGGGATGGTTAAATGTATGGAAATCCATCAATGTAACCCATCATATAAACAAACTGAAAGAAAAAGAAACACATGATAAGCTCCTTAGGTGTTGAAAAAGCATTTGAGAAAATCCAACACCCATTCAGGATTAAATTCTTTTTTTTTTTTGAAAGTATGTATTTAGATTTATTTTTCTTTTTTTTTTTTCAGCTGGGACACAGAGTTAACAAAATGTAACTAAAAAGAAAAATAAAATAAAAAAATGTAAAAAAAAAAGGATTAAATTCTTGGAGTAATCAGGGATAAAAGGCAGATACCTAAACACAGTAAAGGCAATATACAGAAAGCCTAGAGCACACATCAATCTAAAAGAGAAACTTAACACAATTCCACTTATCAGGGATAAGGCAAATCTGACTACTCTCTGTATCTCTTCAATATATTTCTTGAAGTCTTTGCTACAGCAATAAGACAATTAAAGGAGATCAAGGGGATACAAATTGGAAAGGAAGAAGTCAAAATATCACTATTTGAAGATGATATGATAGTAGACATGAATAACCCAAAAAATTCTACCAGGGAACTTGTACAGTTGATAGACACATTCAGCAAAATGGAAGTATGAAAAATTAACTCAAAAAAATCAGTAGCCCTCTTGTATACAAAAGACAAAAGGGCTGAGAAAGAAATAGGGAAACAATGCCCTTCACAATAGCCACAAAAGACATAAAGTACCTTGGTGTGACTCTAACCAAGCAGTCAAAGACTTGTATGAAAAATCCTTCAGTCTCTGAAGAAAGAAATAGTAGAAGATATCAGAAGATGGAAAGATCTCTCAAGTTCATAGCTTGGAAGGATTAACATAGTAAAAATGGCCATCTTACCAAAAGAAATCTACAGATTCAAGGCAATTCCCATCAAATTACAAACATAATTGTTTATAGACCTTGAAAAAATAATTGTCAACTTTATATGGAATAACAAGAAACCCAGAATTGCTAAAACAATCCTTGACAATAAAAGATCTTATGGTGGTATCTCCATCCCTGATCTCAAGCTGCACTATAGAGCAGCAATAGTAAAAACTGAATGGAAATGGCTTTAGAACCAACTCATGGATCAATAGATTTGAATAGAAGATCCTGATATAAAACCACACACTTCTGCACACCTGATTTTTGACAAAGATGCCTAAACCATACAATGGAAAAAAGATAGTATCTTCAACAAATGGTGCTGGTCTAACTGGATGTCTACATGAGGAAAACTGCATGCACATAACTAAACTCCAACTGGATCAAAGATCTCATTGTAAAACCAGACACATTAAACCTCTTAGAAGAAAAAGTGGGGGAGTTCCTTGAACTCATTGGCACAGGAGACTACTTCCTGAACAGAACAGCAACAACACAGGCTCTAAGATCAACAATCAATAAATGAGACCTCATGAAAATGAAAACCTTTAGTAAAGCAAAGGACACTGTCATCAAAACAAAACAACTGCCTACAGATTGGGAAAGGATCTTCACCAACAAACACTATATCTGACAGAGGACTAATATCCAGAATATGTAAAGAACTAAAGAAGTTAAACAGCAAAAAATCAAGTAATCCAATTAAAAAATGGGGTAACTGAGATTTGACCTCACACCCATCAGAATGAAAAACTCAAGTGACAACACATGATGGAGAGGTTGTGGAGAAAGGGGAACCCTCCTCCACTTCTGGTGGGAAAGTAAACTGGTACAACCACATTGGAAATCTATCTGATGCTTTCTCAGACAATTAGGAATAGTGCTTCCTCAAGATCCAGCTATACCACCGCTAGGTATATACCCAAACTTTGCTCAAGTACACAAAAGGGATGCTTACTCAACCATGTTTATAGCAGCTTTATTTGTAATAGCCAGAACCTGGAAACAACCCAGATGTCCATCAATGGAGGAATGGGTACAGAAATTGTGGCATTTTTACACAATGGAATACTACCCAGCAATCAAAAAGGAGAATATCATGAAATTTGCAGGCAAATAGTGGGATCTAGAAAAGATCATTCTGAGTGAAATATCCCAGAAGGAGAAAGACAAACACAGTATATACTCGCTTATATAGACCTACAAGATATGATAAACATAATGAAATCTATACACCTAAAAAAGATAATCAAGAGAGTGGACATGGGGTAAGATGATCAATCCTCATTTAGAAAGACAGATGGGATATGCATTGAACGTATGGCAGGAGTATACTGAAGGCACCTAACTAGCAGTGTTTTCAAAGCAGATACAAAGATTCATAACCAAACTTTTGGCAGAGCACAGGGAATCATATGAAAGAAGAGGAGTTAGTATGATGGGGAAAGGATAAGAGCTCCACAAGGACCAAATATATCTCGGCACAGTGTCTTTTCTGAGACTGACATTCAACCAAGGACCATGTATGGATATAACCGGATGTAGCCCGTGGTAGCTCAGTAACCAATTGGTTTTCCATAGTAAGGGGAACAAGGACTATTTATAACAAGCACTCAATGGCTGGCTCATTGGCCTCCCACCCCCCAAGGGAGGAGCAGTCCTGTTAGGCCACAGAGGAGGGCTTTGCAGCCCTCCTGAAGATACCTGATAAAACAGGATCAGATGAATGGGGAGAAGGTCCCCCCATCAGTGGACTTGGAAAGGGGCAGGGTGGAGATGAGGGAGGGAGGGTGGGATTGGGAGGGAATGAGGGAGCGGGATACAGCAGGGATAAAGAGTTAATAAAATGTAACTGATAAGGAAAAAATAAAATTAAAAAAATGGGGTACAGAACTAAATAGAGACTTCTCAAAAGAGGAATATTAAATGGCAGAGAAACACTTAAAGAAATGAACAATGTCCTTAGACATCAGGGAAATGCAAATCAAAAAAACCCTGAGATTTTAAATTATATCCACCAGAATGGCTAAGATCAAAAACTCAAGTGACAACATATGCTGGAGAGGATGTGGAGAAAGCAGAACATTCTTCCACTGCTGGTGGTAATGTAAAATTGTACAACCACTTTGGAAATCAATCTGACCCTTTCTCAGACAATTAGGAATTGTGGTTCCTCAAGATACAGGTATACCACTCCTAGGCATATATCTAAAATATGCTCAAGTACACAATAGGGACATTTGCTTAATCTTGTTTGTAGTAGCTTTATTTGTAATAGCCAATAGCTGGAAACAACCCAGATGCCCCTCAGTTGAGGAATGGATTGTGATACTTTTACACAATGAAATACTACTCAGCAAGTAAAAACAAGGAAATCATGAAACTTGCAGACAAAGGTGGGAACTGGCTGAGGTATCCCAGAATCAGAAAGACAAACATGGTATGTACTCACTCATAAATGGATATTAGACATATAATATAGAATAAAGATACTAAAATCTATAGTCCTAAAGAAACTAATCAAGAAGAAAGACTCTGAGTAAGATGCTCAACTCTCACTCAGAAAGGCAAAGAGGATAGATATCAGAAGAGGGAAGAAAATGGGGAACAGTACAGGAGCCTACCACAGAGGGCCTCTGAAAGACTCTACCCTGCAAGGTATCAAAGTAGATGCTGAGACCTATAGCCAAACTTCGGGCAGAGTGCAGGGAATATTATGAAAGAATTGGGAATTAATAAGACCTAGAGAGGACAAGACCTCTACAAGGAGAGCAAAAGAATAAAAAAAAATGTGGTCACCGGAGTCTTTTCTGAGACTGATACTTCAACGAAGGACCATTAACTGAGATAAACTAGAACCCCTGCACAGCTGCACAGTAATGGGAACAGGGACTGTCTCTGATATGAACTGATTGGCCTGCTCTTTGATCACGCCCCCATCAGGGGGGTGAAGCCTACCAGGCCACAGAGGAAGTCAATGCAGTCACTCCTGATGAAACTGTATAGACTAGGATCAGAAGGAATGACTCCATCAATGGGTAAATATCCTGTGTTTGGATCCCCAGTATCTACATAAAAGCCAAGCAGAGTAGGATGCTTATGAGTCTCCAGAGCTGTGCATAGCTATAGGTAGACCCTAGCGGCTTGCTTGCTACCTTATTCCAACAAAACCAGAGTCTTCTTCATTCAGTGAGAGACCCTGACTCAAAAAAGTCCTGTAGAAAGTTATAGAGGAAGATGATTGACCTCTGGTCTGCACAAGGGCACACACAGGCATGTATACAAGCAATCATATGTACACAGACACACACATACACACAGAGATACACACACACACAGACATACACACCCTATCAAGACATCTCTTTTCACATTGCAAGTGTTGTAAATACTGAACTGGAGAACCTTTCTGATGCAAAGTTCACTTTCTATTTGTCTCCAAGCCATTCAGCATCTGCACAACTCTGGGGCACCTGCTAATTCCTGTTCCTATCTTTCCCCAACACCTGGACCTAATTTTTTTTTTCTTTTACATCTAACATGAGGTCCAGTCCACCATAAGAAGACAGTAACTACTTGTTATATGGTGCTATCTGCTCAGCACTTTTGCAAACTTGGAGAGTTCCAGACTTACACAGAGCCATTTTTTTTTTCTTTTGTGACCATAGAGTTTTGGCCCAGTGGGAATTATGAAAAAAGCTCTCTCCATATCTGAGGATGAGGAGTGGAAGAGAATAAGATCATTGCTGTCTCCCACCTTCACCAGTGGAAAACTCAAAGAGGTGACTAAGAGGACTTACGAGTGAAATCTTTGTGTGACCTGACTCTCAACACCTAACTACTGCTGTTTTTGTGCTTTTTGCTCAGATGTTCCCCATTGTTGAACAGTGTGGAGATATTTTGGTAAAATACTTGAGAGGAAAGGCAGAGAAAGGCAAGCCTGTTCCTATGAAAGAGTAAGTGATGGTGCATCCAAGGTGGTTTTGGAAGCCGAAGGATAACTGGGACAGAGTGGCTTTTTTCTTGTGTATATCACATGGCCTAGCTGCATATACTCTTTCTTTAGATACTATATATATTTCATGTATGTATATATTATATGTATTATATATATGTAATACGTATATTAGATAAGCATACAGTTTAGAAAGAAGAATCACAATGGTCTGAAAGTCACAAGTGTAGATGGTGGATAGAATGGGAATTTGCTTGGTCAATACTGAAATGACTTTGCCTTTATTGCCCCAAACTATGAACTATTTCAGGCTTCTTGCTGCTTGTCTTAAATTCCCTTGTCTCTCCCTCATCAGAGTGTTTGGGGCCTACAGCATGGATGTGGTCACCAGCACATCATTTGGAGTGAACGTCGATTCCCTAAACAACCCAAAGGATCCTTTTGTCGAGAATGCCAAGAAGCTCTTAAGATTTGATTATTTTGATCCATTGTTCTTGTCAGTAGGTATGTGGACAGTTCATCCTTTTGAGCTACTGGTCTTGTCTGTGGCTGCATTTGTCACTCTGCCTTTCTCTTCCATACTTCCCCGCAAACTAGTTTCTCCACTGGTATATAATTCAATTGCCATGTAATTCGTCATCTTAAAGGCACAATTCAAAGTTTTTAGTATATTCAAAGACATGTAGCCCATTATGTTTGTTTTATAACTTTATTTTACTTTGAGACAGGGTCTTCATGTGTAGCTCTACCTGGCCTGGAAATTGCTGTGTAGACCAAACTGGCTTTGAACTCACAGTGATCCTCCTGCTTCTACCTCCTGAGGACTAAAGTGTGCACCAGAATTCCTGGCTTTGCTTTAGAATCATTTTATTTATTCTTTGACTGTATTATATAGGAATACAACATACCTTGATTAGACCCATCCTCACTCTTCCCTCCCACTTCCCTCAGACACCCCAACACACTTTCCTTCTAATTTCATGTCCCATTTTTGTTTTGGTGTCCCAGTGAGCCCAGTCACTGCCTGCTAGGATACCAAGCAATATTACTGGCTTGATCTTTTGCAGGTGTTCAGTCCATGAGTGGACCATGCCATGTCCAGGATTTGGCACTTCAGATGCCCCATTCCTGGATCTTTATTTCCATATCTTCTTTCAGGATGTTCCTTGAGCTTTGAGGGATGGGGTGTTGATACAGTTGCTCCATTTAGGGCTTAGTACTCAGCAGTAACTGATTCACAGCACTTTGATCACTTGGAAATCTGCAATGACTGAAGGACCACAAGGCTCCTTATCACTGAGAACTGAATAGTACTTCGTTGTAGCCATGGTGTTAAATCTTTTGATTATCATCCTTCACCTAGACCTAAGCAGCCTAGATCTAAGCAACCACCAGTTCACTTTCTGTATATTTACATATGCTTGGCATTTCACATCAATGGGATCATAGACTATGTGGTCTCTGTGGCAGGCATCTTTTATTTAGCACAATAGTAAAAGAAGCAAACATCACTATCTCCTGTGTCCAGGAGCAAACAATGCTCTGTATCTATCAATAGACATGAAGTTAGTTTCACCTGTTTGCCATGAATTTTACTGATATGAGCATATGCATAGAAGGGTATATTCAATTTTTTTATGTTTTGAAGTATATATTCAGAATCATCATTGCTGAGATAAAAGGCAACCCTATATTTAATTTTTTAATGTGGAAATTTTTGTTTTTAAAAATTTATTTATTTATTCACTTAACATTTTTATAACAGCCCCACCTCTCCTTGCTGTCTCTGTCTTCTTGCATAAACCTCCTCCTAATTCCCTATCTCCTTCTTCTTAGAGAGCAGCCATGTGGAGGCTGAGAATGAAACCTAGGTTGTCTGCAAAAGCAGCCAGTGGTAACTGCTGAGCCATATCTCCAGTCCATGTAGAGTGACTATATATATCCATTTAACAGTGGTGCTCCATTATTTAGGGCTTTAATGCTTTTCCTTGTTAATTACATTTCCATACACAGCTCATGTGTCCTTTTCCCTACACTCTATTCCTTCCTCACCACTTAATATTATCCTCTTGGTCTCCTTTTAAGTGTTATGTGATATCCACACTTATACCTTTCATACATATACTTTTATCCATTATAGGCTACCACTGTAAAATTAGAGACATTATGTGATTTGTCTTTTTTCTGAGTTGGGGTCACCTGTCTTTGAGCTTGTCTTTTTCTTGAGACATGATTTCTCTGTGTAACATCAGCTGTCTTTATTTGTGTGTACATCTATGTATGTGCACCTTGGTTTTGTGGTTGTATCCTTCCACAGTGTGTGATCCAGGGATCAAGCTGAGGTTGTCACACTTGTCTGCAGGACCCTTTATCTCTTGAACCATCTAAAAAACACACATCTTTTATCTCTGGATCCATAAGAATTACAGGAACAGAGTTCAATACAAAGTCAGATTTGCAGCCTGACTGTTCCACTGCTGTGGAGCAGTGAGGAGGTGACCCAAAGTGAGCATGCTCATGGCGTGAGTAAGGTCACAGTGTGAGCAAGATCAAGGGGAGAACAGTTTCTGGCTGAGAAAATGGCTTATTTGGATTGTGTTTTGATTTCTCTAGATGAATCTTGCATCTCTATTAAACGTTATATTTTTTTTTCTTTCCAGTACTTTTTCCATTCCTCACCCCAATATATGAGACGTTAAATATCTCCCTGTTCTCAAAGGATTCCTTAGCATTTTTCAAAAAATTTGTGGACAAAATGAAGGAAAACCACCTGAATTCTAATGAGAAGGTAAAAAGTGGTGATCTCATGAGAGGTCTATATGTTGAAAACATGTGAGCTGTGTACTTCCCTTCATCTGTTACTAAAGGTAGATAGAAAAGGCTCGATTTAGAGCGAGACAGAATATTTACATTTTCTGGGGAAGGAGAAGTTTGGGTTTTTAAATTTTTTATTGAGAATAAGCCAGGAATTAACCCTCAGCAATTAAAATGAAAACTACAGTGCCAGGCATAAGAATTGAAAACTCAAAAAATTAGACACAGCACAAGACCTACAGAAGATCAAGATCATAAACCTATAACATATATCGGAGGGGAACTCTCCAAGCTCTGCCCCTTACTGAGGAACAATTGGCAGTTAATAGCTGTGGATGGAGGCTGTGGACACTGGAAGGATTCCTATGTAGCAGTGGATGTCCCCACAGACATGCTTATATTGGCAGCACTAGTTGGACTCAGTGAGTTATTAAAATGAGGGCATAACGTTTAGAGAAAGAAATGTTACAGAGGATATAGAAAGAATTGGATAGAGGAAAGAATGGAGTGGATATGACCATACCCCATTGTGTACAGATGTGAAGTTTTCTGATAACAAATAAAAATGATTCAAGAGGGAGAATTACTATTTTCCTGTCCTTCAAAAGCATTTGCAAAGAATAAAAGTGACTATTTAAAATTGCACCTAATTGTTATTTATTGTAAAAGCAGTTGATATGGTGGCTGGATTGCTTCCTGCTTTATTCACTTGTGCTTTTGGTCTTTGATGACTTAAGTGACACTAGTCATGCTTGTGAGTGTCAGGGAGCCATGTACTCAGAAAAAAAGAGAATTAAGCTTCTGTACTCCTGATCCATCTTTAACCTCATCACTGACTTTCTACATTTGTGATTTCTCTTTCTTCCTCCAGCATCGAGTGGATTTTCTCCAGCTGATGATGAAAGCTCACAAGAATGCCAAAGACAAAGAGTCTCACAAAGGTAAACAAGGACTCACTGGTCTATGCATAGGGAAGCTCTCATAGAGTGGGCAGGCCACTCAGAAAATACTACGCAAGGAGGGTTTTCTAGATAGAGAAATATCTCTGTCAAGTTGGTGAAAGCAGACATGGCTACCATCTTCATGAAATTTTCTGAAAGCGCACTGGCATAACTGTTCCAAACGTGAAGGGTAGTCACAATGGAAGACTTTAGATGCCTGTGTGTATCCAGGAGACTATAAGCGTTGTTTCTGTCTTTTCCCACACACTGACTTGAAACTCTGCCTAGACATCTGAGTCTAAACAACCAGACAGGAGGCATGTACCCAAACGGTGCTGATGCATTCTGGGAACCCCTAGTACGCATGTGTTCTATACCTTAATCTATGGTAGAGATTGACTTTTCCTTTGCCTGATGAATAAGCAGCTTCCAAGGAAAGCCTCTTTGTACAAACACGCTGCTTCTCTCCATTCTTTGACACACTTACAAACTACCTATATATTTTTTATCTTCTTTGTGTGGTGTATGTATGTGTGTTCACGAGTAGGTGCACATGTGCAAAACCCTAGTTGTGTATGCAGAAAACAGAGAAGGCACCAAGCATCTCTCCTAATCTCTCTTTGCTTTATTTCCTCTTATTAAACCTATATCTAAGCTGGCAGCCAGCAGGTCCCAATGATACACAGCATTGGGGTGACAGTGGTGTGCTGCCACACCTTGTTTTTTTCACATGGGGACAGAATATACAAACTCATGTCCTCAAGCTTGTGTAACAAGTGCTCTTACCTCTGTAATTTTCCATCTATGTTTCTTTTCAAATTTAAAACCATCATTACTTTCATGGTGGCAAAATGACACTTGTTATATATA